AGCAAAGCACAGGGACCACGGTTCAATCCCCCAGCATCACAGGCCAGCCAGCCCCGCCCCCTGGTGGGCACACACACACACACACACACACACACACACTTAAAAAAAAATAAGTTTAAAAAAAATAATAATAATAACTAGAAGATTTTGAATGTTTCCCTACAAAGAAATGGCAAATGTTTGAAATGATATGTTAATTACACTGATTTGATCTGCTACAGTATTTACAGGTATCAAAGTAATAACATTGTACCCCATAAATATGTACAGGTATGTGAGGATACAAATAAATACAAGAGGGCCAGCCAGATAGTGGACTAAACACCTGCTTAGGCAAAGCACAGCAGCTGGGTTTGATCGCTGGTGTGCAGTGCTGCTTCCGTCCCCAGGGAGCAGTGAGAGGGCAATTGAGACGACATGGTGGTGCGCACCTGTAATCCCACCTCTTGGGAGACTGAAAACAGGTGAATCACTAAGAGTCCAATCTACATAGTGATACCCTGTAGATCCTATTCTAAATACATTTAAAAAAGGTAAAATATACTCCTAAAAAAAAGTAAAGTGTGTAATTCAATGGGTTTTTGGTTCATTCACAAGATTATGTGTGCCACACCATTCAAGGCCCAAAGGGTAAGCATCAAATCTTGGTCATGAAGAAGCAGGAACGGCCAAGGCTATACCCTTTATAGAATATCTGCAGAAAGGCAAATCGGGGCAGAGTACAAATTTTAGGATTAGTTTAAATAATTACAACAGGCTTTGAATTGTAGGGGAAGGCTCTTGTTCCCTGATACCTGGCTGTGGGATGGTTGCAGGTAAGGGAAAGAATGGCTTGGTGTCTAAGTTCATGGAAGTAGTTGCTTTGCTTATGAGTGGCATGCAGTCAAGTTGTATAACTAGGAATTAGCTACCCTTGGAAGCAGCAAGATTTTTACAGTATCAAAATACAAGATGAAGGACAGTGGTAAAGGTAGAAATTATTTTCATCAGATTGAGTTGTGTTAAGTAAAATGAGTTACAGTGTGGCTTAGAGAAGAGTGTCCTTAAAGCTAAGTCTCTCAACTGAATTATGTGACTATTTATATTGGAAATGCCCAGACTGTGTGCATTGAAAGTTTCACATGATGATTCTGATGAACTGTAGATTGGGAACCACTGTATTAAATCTAAATCCACTCCTGTTGAGTAAGTCCTGTAAGTGAAGTATAAGAGCTGAGTAAAAATGATTGGGATTTAAGATTTAACCTAGGGCAGGGGAGATAGCTCAGCAGCATACACACCTGCCTGGCAAGCACAAGGTCCTGAATTCTATCCCCAGTACCGCCCCCCCAAAAAAAGATGGGTTTAACCTAATACCTTCCTTTGAGATAAAAAGTTATCCATAGCTAGGGCAGCTTTCTCCATGGTCCACAGTAAATATTGGAACCCCTTGTCCTAGATCCTCTTGTAATCTCTCTAGTGAAGCAAATAGTGTTTATGCTCTCCCACTGAGATTACATAGAAGTGGGACAGTGTCCCTAAATTATTAGTAGATCTATGTTCTGTCTATTAGAATATTACTGTGTGTTTCCTACTTTGCCAAATTAAACCAAGGAGATGAGACAGTGTTTCAATTTTTATTTTTTATTTTTTGCAGAACCGGGGATTGAACTCAGGCTCCTGTGCTTGCCAGGCAAGTGCTTATTCCACTGAGCTATCTCCCCGGGCCTTTGTTTTATTTATTTATTTATTTATTTATTTATTTTATTTTTTTTGTGGTACCAGGGATTGAACTCGGGACCCTGTGCTTGCCAGGCAGGCACTTATTCTATGGAACTATCTCCTCTGAGCCTTTTTTTTTTTTTTTTTTTTTGCGTCAAATATTAAAAGGTAGTGCCAAGTATGGTGACATGTCTATAATCCCAGCACTCAGGAGGCTGAGGCAGGAGGATCATTGTGAGTTCAAGACCAGTGCGGGCTGCAAAGTGAGCTCATGGCCAGCCTGACCTGAATAGCGAGACCCTGTCTCAAAAAAGAAAAAAAGTAAAAGGTGAAGCCTGCTGTTCTGGTACATGCCTATAGTCCCAGCACTCTATAGAGGCTAAGGCAAAAAAATAAAGCAAATGTTAAAAAGTGAGGGTTGTCCTGTGTTTGGTTAACCTTAAATTAATCAGAAAATAAATGCAGAAGTTAAGGAAAAAGTGTTGACATTCAGGGAGAGGGTTTTTCCCCCCCAGCCCTGTGGATATTTTTGGATCCAAGAGAAAGGCAAAGGTTGGATATATTATTATTCTTAGCCTTACCCACCTGGAAAAATTCCTTTTTGAAAACTGAGGTTTTTTCCACTGAGTTAATGTTTTCAACTCCTAAGGAAGAAGTAAAAGGCCCTTGCCCCAAGTTTGTGGTTTGGTCATAAATTACAAAGCCAAATATCTGTCCAGCTCCTCATTTGTCTTGGCAAAGTTGAGGGAAAGTTACAAATTGAATAAGGAAATGATTGTCTTCTTGGATTTTTTGTCCTGACTTGTATAATCGTGTTTCCCACACTGCCAGAATTGCAATTATGAGGGAAGTAACTGGGGAAATGTCTAGAAATTACTGTAGATTATGCTGTTCTATCATTGTCCTGTCACTGTTGCCTTTTCTGTGATGTAGCTCTATTGTTTTGCTGGGTAAGTTCAAAGAAGATTCCATATAGATGTACTGCCCTCTATCCCAAAAAGTTTTTCCCTAATAAAGATTTATAATGGTGGTTGTAATTTTGATGTTAAAATTAAGTCATCTTCACTTAATATTTTTATAATATGACAGTACTGTCCCATCGATGTACAGATTCGGGGCTGGGGAGATGACTCAGTGGAATAAGTGCTTCCCTGGGGAGATGGCTCAGTGGAATAAGTGCTTCCCTGGGGAGATGGCTCAGTGGAATAAGGGCTTCCCTGGCAAGCGCAAGGGCCTGACTTCAATCCCCAGTTCCACCGAAAAAAAAGAAAGGAATGTACAGATTCAGCATAATCCCTACCAAAATTACTTTTTGGGGTCAGGGGTATAT